GTGTGACATGTTGCAACTTCTCATTAGAAGCCCCAGTCTGGCTGCTGTGTGGAATCAACAGTGCAGGGTGAGAGGTGGGAAGATAAATGCAGGAAACATGCACAGATTCTAAGATGGAAAATTCGGTAGCTTTATGGGCTGTGATCAGGAAAATAATAGGAAGTCGCTGGAGCTGGATATATTTAGAGATGGACTTTATAGCATTTCCTAATGTGACATCTGGGTTATGAGAAAGAGGGGTCAGGATGCCACCCAACATTTCAGACTGTGAAGTAGAGATGTGCAGGGCCTGGATTTCTCACTCATTTGATACAAATTCACAACACAAATTTTCCAAGTAAAATTTACTAAAGGCATTAATAGATACATGTGAATGTATATGTTTGTGTATAATGGTATAGTGTGTGACACTAACTTCAGACCCCTATGGCTTACCCAACTCTTTCCTGGCCCCTGAGTGGTGGCACATGCAGGTTTTGTTGGTGGGGTTGCCCCTGTGGGCACAGCCAGAGGCCAGTTGGAACAGGAATCTGAAAGGGCTGGCAGCAGCAGTGGGGGTTTCCTGCCCTGGCACCTGCGTGTGCAGGTGGGAGCTGGTGGGCACAGCCTGAGAGGGGGTGGCAGAGGGGGGTTTCCTGTCAGGGGGCAGGCAGCCTTCTGAGGGCCCCTCCCCCAGAGCAAGCCAGGGTTAAGCACAGGAGCCCCTAGGGCTTAGGCTCCCACTCCCCTGCCCCCCAGAGGAGCTGCTTCTGGGCAGCACCAAGACCGCCCGCAGTGGGTGCCACAAGACAGCTTTGATGAGGCCACCTCACTGGACTAGGGATGAGAGCTGGGGACACAGCTGGGTTTGAATGGACCCCACCCACCCTGGCAGGCTCCAGGAGGCCGCTGCTTGAGAACAGGGCCCAGGCCACCCTGACAGCTAGCGGGAGTGGCAGTGGGTGACAGTGGGTGAACACTTTACCACCAGCTCCCATCAGTGTCATGGACAAAGGCAGCAGGCAATCTGGCAGCAGAGGCTCTCTGTCACCCCCACACCACCCCAAGGCATGCAGCCCACTTAGGCTACAGCAGCAAGGTCCCCTTTGAGACCTTCATTGCTGCTGACTGTCCGACACCACCTCCTGGTACTTTGCCTCCTTCCCATCCAGCCCAGCATTCAGATTGTGTCTGTGCCTGCTGGGTGTCTCCTCAGAGATGAGCACCCCCTTGGAGCACCTCCCAATGCCACTGTGAGTTGGATCCTGGTCCAGTGCTTGTGGCTGTGCCACTAGCTCAAGGCCCTCCCTGACGGGACTGTACCACCTCACACGGGCAGCCTTAATTTGTGACTATTGGACACTGTGGACACTATGTGAGGTGACACAGCTGGCCCCGGAGGCCTTAGAAACTCTTTATTTCCCTGTTCTCCTGTTTGTTAAAGAAACTCTGAACTCCCTGGTGGCGCAAGGGTTCAAGCACAGCACTGTGAAGCTATCTGCAGCTTTGGAACATGAGTTTGATACCAGGCTGGCCAGGGAGCTACCCACATAGCACAGTAGACCTCTCTTGTCTTGCCCGCTGCTCCCCTCAGCAGTGTATTTCATTCAGTCTGCCTGCTATGCTCCCAACTCTGTTTCTGGTGAATCCTCTCACCCCTGCACCTCTGGCTTACACCCCTGTTCTAGCATGCATCATTAAATAAATCTTTAAAAAAAAGAAAAGAAAGCTCAATGCTGTTCCCTGAGCCTGAGTGGTCTTGCACTTGAGCACACTGGTGAGTGCTGCAGGAGGCCTTGATGCCCCAGCCAGATAAGATACTGGCAAGCATCGAAGCTAAAGGGCCTCACACCTTGGGGCCGAAGCTAAAGGACCCACACCTTGGGGCCGAAGCTAAAGGGCCCACACCTTGGGGCCGAAGTTAAAGGGCCTCACACCGTGGGGCTGAAGATTCCTTGTGCCTTACACCGTGGGGCTGAAGATTTGACATCCCTTTATTTTTTGTTCTTGGTCATAAAAGGAGAAAAATTTATCAGAAAAGTACATTAGGCAATAAATTATATGTATCAGCATACTGCAAGCAATTGGCATTGACAATTATCTGTTTAGAAATTAGTTATTAAACAATTTGTCCCACTTGACAATGGGAGATGATTTATAGTACATATCTGACAAGCAATCAGGCACAACTATTGTAGTAAGTCCTTCTTTTGCTTTTTTAGAAGTTCCTTTTTATTTAGAAGTTTCTTAGGAAAGTTTTTAAATGAAGTTACTGTGTTAAGAAGTTTGTAGGTAGAAAAAGTTCTGATAGCTGAGAAGAAGCTGGTCTCTGGCTGAAGGCCATATGAATAGAAGAGTCTTTTGATGCTTAGGCTTTAGCTGATAGGGATGTACTGGCGGCTATCCACTGTCTTAGGTAATTGTCTAGCTGAAATAATAAGTTTTAGTGTTAGGTTTGGTTTTTTAATCTATCAACCTTGATGGCTACCATCTAGCTGAAAACTGTAGGAGCCAGTAGTCCATGGGAATAAAATACGCTGATTGTCTCTGCTTTACACATGATAATGCATTTTTTTCTGATTACTAAAAATGAATAAATAAAGACCTGCTGAGTCTCTCTGCAGAAGATACTTGCACCTCATCCAGTGTCAGTGTCTCCTCACTACCTCATCCCCTTCCCCTTAGCCCTTCCGTTTTCGCCGATGCTGTCTCATCCTTTCAGGAACCTGACACAACATTTTGCCGGAGGCTGGTCTGCGGCAGGTGAGAACCACAGACAGTGCCCTGTCCTCTACCTTAGCTCTGTCCTTCTGAGATGGGGCCAGGGAGGAGGGACCCATACCTGGTATAGGAACCTGCACACTCAGGCTGCACGTACATGCTACATGACTCATGATCTGTTTTCTTTGAACTAAAGCTCTGGTTTTAAACTGAGATTCTGCCCTGCTGATGTCCCAAAGAGTGCCGGACACTGACGCCCTCTGATGTACCAGAGGCAGGATAACCGGGAGGCTGACGGCAAGTTCTGGGGCAAGTTCATGATGGACACCAGGGGTGTCAGCTGTGACGGGCTGTTCTGATGGACAATTTGCTCAGAACATAAAGGTTTGTCAGTGCAGAGAGCACCGGAGACACACAGGAGAAGCCGCCTTGCTTCTTGGCTTTGGACTTGAACCAGGAACTTAGAAACGTGGAAGGAGATGCCTGGAAGAGACCCATGGGGAGACCGACCTCTCCCTTGCCTTGTACTTTAATTTTGCTCCTTTTGGCCCAGACTTGCTGGCTCCTTTCATCCACTTCCCAGGTCCCCACCTGCAGGCGCCTCAGACTCGGGAGATCTTTCAGGCTGCAAGTGGCCCTACTTTGAGCCAAGACTGTGTGGTTGGGTCTTTACCCATGAGATGATGGGTAACTTAGGGTGTGTTATTCCCCGTGTTCTCTCTTCTCTTCTTTCTATGTGCATTAATTCTTTCAAAGTTCTCTCACACTATGAAAAAAAATACAGATTGTCATGAAACTAAAGAAAAGTGCATAACTTAATTCATAAATCTTACATCTTTTTATGAGCAAGCTGAAACAACTGCTTTTCTCTCTCTTCCCCCCAAAATGTAAAATTTTTACTAAATATTCTGATTTCTAATTTCAAAATGTGTGTTTGTATAGACCTAATAATGTTATTTCCCGCCTCCCTTTAATAGACAATTGGAAATATGGGTGTTTTATCAAGGCTTTGTCTGGAATGTAGTGTTATCAGAAAACAGACTGATTTCAGAGCCAATAAGGAAACAATAACCTGGCACCTGTTTGGGGGTACAAAGGATCTATCATGAAGGTAAAGAAGGCAACCCCTTGACAGGGCTAGAAACCCCAGATGTCTTGAGAGACTCGAGAGGGATTTCCCCAAAGATACAGGTACCGCAGGCCAAGTCTGATGGTGAGATCTTGGTGTGGTCCTGAGCCCTGACTCCTGGCTTTAGAAGCTCTCGGTCTGAGGTTCCTATAAGTTCCAACAAAGCAAAATTAAAAGGTCTGCATAATAATCTCTGTTCTTGCTGAATTCATGCAAACTCACTATGATAGTGTATGTCTGGGTGAGGCCAGGAGCTGATAATTAGTCTCAGGTGCTGGATACCAGGAGCAGCAACTGTGATGGGCTATTCACATGGACTGTTTGCTGTGACTGTCTGTGTGTAACTGATTATAACAAGGCCAGCTGGAGATGAGATGGGGGAACGGGCCCTTCAGGGTGCGATGCCCCCCATTCTCTCAGATCAATGGCCAGTGATCTGAAAAGTGAAAGTGCTTGTAGATTCCATTCCTGGCTTTGCTTATGGCTTTCTGGGGGTGACGGCAGCAGCACCCAGGCCTATCCCACCAACAGTTGCTGTCTGTGCTGTCAGGGGTGTGGTGTGAACGTGCTTCCTCTCTCTCCGCAGGGGTCTCTGCATTATGGCGCCTTCCTGTGCAGCAGCTATTGAGTATGCTGGAGCCCCTGGGTCACATTCCTTGTTGTTCTCCTATTACAGGGGACGGGGCCACAGTGCAGCAATCAGGTACAAGGCAGGAAAGGGTGTCCGGGGGCCAGGAGGCCTGAGGCCTCCAAACCCCAGGTAAGTCTTGACTCTGGGCTACTCTGGCGTTTTTCTCTCCCCTTCTCTCTCCTGCCTCTCTCCTGAAATATCTCAATACTGCAGTCATGGCCCACAGAAGTAAACAACACAACTATAACAATATAACAGTATAAAAAAAAATTGACTTCCGGGCCTCTCCTGGTGGTACTGGTGGTTCAGTGCAGTACTGTGAAGCTGTCCGCAGTCTCTGCAGTGCAGGTTTGATCCCGACCGGCAGGCACAAATCTCACATGGCACAGCAGACCTCTCCTGTCTCACCCGCTGCTCACCTCAGTAGTGTATTTCATCAGTCTGCCTGTTCTGTTCCCCACTCTGTCTCTGGTGAATCTTATCACCTCCCATGCATGTGGCCTGTACCCCAGTTCTTGTATGCATGAATAAATAAATCTTTTTATTTATTATATTTATATTTATTATTTATAGACATAGCAACATATGTAGACATAGCAAAATAAAAATATGAACAAAGGCTCAATATCACAGTTAAGAACAACAGTGACACCATCCCACTGCTGTCCAGGGTGTGCAGAACAGAAGCTTCATCAGGTTCATTGTTAAAGATCCTTAGGGGCTGAGAGACACATCACAGCCCTGGGCACTGTCGCAGCCTGGTTGAGAACAGAACAGAACCTGGTCAGAGATGAGACCACAGGAGGGACTGATGAGGGTGACTCCCCGTGGAGTCCATTTACACTGTCCCCAGGGGCTCAGGGATCAAACCCCTGATCCACACTTACCTGTGGCCGGAGTGTAGCTTCCTCCTTGTCCTCCTGTGGGAAGAAACATCATGTGAGACCAGGAAGCAGTCAGGTCAGAAGACCTAAAGGAATCTTTTAATCCTGCTCAACAGGGAAGTTTCCAGAACTGTGACTAAAGACCCAGGTCAGGACTGGGAAAAATGAAGAAAGGAGGTGAGGGGGGACTGGACCAAATACCCTCTGGGCACCACACGTGTGTGTGGATGGTACTTCCCATTAACCAGGCAGGGTAAGTTCTCCCTGGGACTTGAAAGCCCCCAGTGGACAAGATCCCCCCAGTTCCTTTCCTACCTGAGCGTTTCTTTCTCCACATCACAGCTGCAGCCACAGCAGCAACAGTGAGCACAGCTCCAAGGAGAAGCAGGCCAGCAATGATGACCACGGTGGAGATGGAGGACTGAGGGGACACTGGAAGGGAAGGGAAGATCATACCCTGAGCCCCAGACCTTATCCTGACCCTCTGAAGGTCTCCAGAAGGGATCCTAATGGCCCTGAGAACAGCCTCAGTGCCCATATCCTTCTCCTTACCCCAAGTCAGGACTCTGGGCTCCAGCAGCCCCTCATGCTGCACGTGGCATGTGTATCTCTGCTCCTCTCCAGAAGGCACCACCACAGCAGCCCACTTCTGGAAGGTTCCATCTCCCCCAGGCCTGGTCTCCACCAGCTCCATCTCCTGGGTCAGGTCCTCCCCATCTCGCTGCCAGGTCAGGGTGATGTCCGCAGGGTAGAAGCCCAGGGCCCAGCACCTCAGGGTGACCTCATGGTCAGTGGAGGGGTGATGGGTCACATGTGTCTTTGGGGGATCTGAGGTGGTAAATCAGAAAACTCACTTTGTGTTTCCCTATGGACACTGAAGAATCCTCATGAGACCATCCTCACAATGGACAAGACAACTGGTGTGGCAAGAAGAAGCACAAAATGTAAAAAACAGGCTAATTTGGAGGAATCTGTGCGATTCTCCTATACCTTGAAAGTCCTAGAATGAGGATGAAAACCCAGGGTAGGATGAAGCAGAGGGAGTGGAACACAGACTTTTTATTCCTGACCTGGGTGGAAGGTGAATGACACAGAAAAGCAGGAATCACATAACTAAAAATGTTCTCAGACCAGCAACAAGACTGAGAGAAAAACTTGTGGTTCTCAAACAGGCCCCTGGTCAAAAGGACCCGGTGACATGTGATGTCAGGGACTGTCTGTGTCTCAGGAGAGACTGGATCCCTTCACTGTCCTTCAGGAGAAGCAGGAGTCTCTGGGAGTCTCTCTGGTGCAGAACATGAAACCCAGGGGAGTCCCCCGAGAGAGGACTCATTACCCGCAGTTATTCCAGGCAGGGGAGGACTGGGAGGCCCCCAGGCCCCTCTTACCCGTGCGCTGCAGAGTCTCCTTCCCGTACTCCAGGCATGTGCGCAGCAACGTTAAGTACCTGCCCTCCAAATAGTTCCTGAATCTCTCTGCCTCTCCCTGGGCCTCCCACTGGCGCCGGGTGATCTGAGCGGCCGTGTCCGCAGCGGTCCAGGAGCGCAGGTCCGTGTTCAGGGCGATGTAATCGGCGCCATCGTAGGCGAACTGTCTGTACGCGCGGAGGAGGCGCCCGTCGGGCCCCACGTCGCAGCCAGACATCCTCTGGAAGGTGTGAGAGCCTGTCCAGAATGAAAAGGGGTGAAAGTCCCGCAGGCTGTTCCCGGGCAGGTTGCAGAGAAGCCTGGAGGGGGAGACCCTGAGCGACCCCCGTCCGTGGGGATGGGAGTGCTGACCCGGCCCGGCCCTGCGCCAGCTCACCGGTCTCGCTCTGGTTGTAGAGGCCGCGCAGGGTGTCCAGCTGCGCGCGGTACCACAGTGCGTGGCCCCTCAGGATCCGCGTGTCCTCGTCCCACTCCTCCTGCTTCTCCTGCTCCACCTGCTCCGCCCAGGGCGTCAGGGCCTCCAAGCTCCGGCCCAGGGAATCGCTGTCGAAGCGGTCGAACTGCGTGTCGTCCACGTAGCCCACGGAGATGAAGCGGGGCTCCCCGAGGTCGGGCCGGGACATCGCGGTGTGGAAAAACCTCAGGGAGTGGGGGCCTGGGGGCGGGAGGGGAGACCCGGGCTATTCTTCTCCCTTTCGGGGGCTCGAGTCCCAAGGGACGCCCACGAGACCAAAAGTGGGTAAAAGAAGAGTGAGAGTGGAAAGCGCCTGCGGGACGAAAATGGCCAAGACTCGGGGGGCCAGAGGAGGCTGGGGTCTCGGGGGGACGGAAAGGGGCCAGGACGGGGCGGGGCCGAGATGGGGGGACAACTAGGGCGGCGGCGAGGTCGCGCCTTTCCCACGCCCGCCCACGCCCTCGCTCCCGCCTCTGGTAGCGCCCGGTCCCCTCCCGACCCGCACTCACCCGCCCGGGTCTCCCTCGGGGCGGCGGCCACCGCGAGCAGGAGCAGGAGGGCTGCGCCCCCCATCCCCCAGGACGCGCCTCCACCCGGGCTGGGGAGACGGAGTCCCGGCGGGCGGGCGAGGGCTTTGGAACGGGAGCCGCGGGGCTGCTGATTGGCTGCTCTGGAGACCTCCAGGCAATGGGGAGTGAGCCCTGGGGTGATTCACCAGTATCCAGGAAGTAGGACCAGACACAGGTTGTGAGAAGAAGTGAAACTGGGGAGATGAGGAAGCCCCAACAGTAACCCTACAGTGCCCTGGAGACTGAGACCTTGAGAGCCACACCCCGAGGCCCCTCCTCTCCTGCACCAAGACCTTTGTCACACTGTTGCCTCCCTGAATCCAGGCCCAGGAACTGGGTCAGCGATTCTCAAACGTTTTTCTTTCAGGATGTCTCTACCGTCTCACAAATTATTATGGATCCCATGTATAATTTTTTCATGTGGATTATAGCTTTACATATTTACTTTACTAGAATAAAACCTTTCAAAAAGATGTTATTATGCTGGGAGCCATGCTACTCCTGTCGTCTTACAAAGGTCCAGGCATGGGGCAGATTCCTGAAAAATCAGGAATCTCTTTAGCTGACTCCTGCTAGATTCTCATTTGTTTATGGCTAGTTTCTACCATTGTTAAAATATGCATTTAAAAGTAAAACTGCAAATGCTGTTTGATCAATTACTGAATAACCAATTTGACAGCAAATGGCACTGCATGATTCATTGATAACATTGGTTAGTTAGCATACAAATTCTTGACACAGGAAAAGGGGAAGGATGCAGATCTTTGAGACTGGCCCAGGAGAACAACCAGCCTAGCAGGCTGCCAGGCCCTGTTTAGATATGCTTGTTAAGGAAGCAAGCTTGTCTTTTACTGACATTTCCATGTCTATGGCTCTTTAACAGGGAAAGATTCCCTTTTCCTTTAACAGTTCCCTTTCAGTGACAATGGGTATGGTAGCTGTTGGAGTATGCATTCAAGAATAAGCCAACAACAATTTTGTGACTGGTTAAGCTACTAACCTTGACAGCACAAATAATGCACTTGGAAATAGTCAATGTTACCACTACTGATATGTCACGTATTAACCATTCTGAGAACCAAAAGCTATAACCATCTCCGGCCCTGCCTCTGATGAAATATTTGTAGTTCCTTAAAACAACAATCAACAGTCTTACAAAAAAAGGAATTTTCCCTTGACCTTAAAGTTAGATATGGAAACTAGGCTGACTAGATAAGTATAGGAGTAATAGGTAGAAAAACTCTTCTGTTAGATTAGGAGAATTCCTCCCTTAATTGAGAGCTTGAGGCTAGGGAAGAGTCAGTGTGGCTTGTCTGGCATTGTCACCCTCCAGACCCTTGGTTCCTTAATATTGAATCAATATCTTATTAAAACAATATACTATTAGATGATGATTTCTATATAAAAGCCTTCTGTTTTTTGCTTTAATCATATTGTTACAGAGCTGCCCCGATATAAAACGGGTTGCCTAGCTGTGGGTCCTCAACCGCGCGCTTCTAATGCCCCAGATATTTTTTCTTTTGGCTTAGCTAATGGACTGTTTGGTATAAAGACCAGACACGTTGGCTTGGGGGGTCTCGCTTGCCTCCTGGCTTCATGGCTCCTGGCTTGAGGCCAGCTCTCAGAGTGCCATTTGGGGTTCCAGATCGGTGGATCAGGTAGGACGCATTTAAAACTTTGTCTCCCACTTTTCTCCCTGAGTTGTACATTTCCTCATTTGCCCTTCCCTTGTAAATAAACCTTTTATTAACCTTTTGCGTGTGCCTGCAGTAGAGTATTGATAAGTCCTTTTAAGCGCGCGGGTGAGGACCCACAGTCAGGCAACCCGTTTTGTATTGGGGCTGCCCTATAACATCCCCACTGGAAGATGCTTAAGACTTGTGGCAGACTTTGGGGCCTTGCTCTAGGCCAATCCTGCTTGGGTGGACTTTTACCCACGAGGGGACAGGTAACTTTGGGTGCTAGATTTAGAAACTATATTCTTTGCCTTTTCTGTATTGTTTCCTAATTGTATTACAGTTCCTTCCCATTAAAGTCTCATATGTTTTGTGTTGATGCAGCAGATGGCAGAACCCACTTAGAATAGGCAGGTTTGTGGGGTCTGGCTGCCCTTCTCCCTGCCCTGTAACAATATGGTTATATGTTAGTCTCAACTTTATAGGTTAGTTAGAAAAAATCCCTCTGTCGCCCTTCCCCCAGGTAACTCCCTGCCCTTTGTTTCCCCAGCCCTTAGTTAATCCTTCACCATGGTAAACACAGAAATGTTAGTTTCAGTCACAAAAGTTTTTGTTGGTAATAAAATGATTGTTTAAGATAAATGACTATTCTAAGAACACTTTTGTTTAGCAACTGTGCCTTCTTCAAAATAAAATATATTACAACCTCTGCTGAAAGACAAATAAACCCCTGGCTGTTCTAGAGGAAGGTGTGATGATTGTTATCTTCCTGCTCTAATACATATGCTTATGTACTCTGGTGTTATAGGGCAGCCCTGATATTCAACGGGTTCCTGGCTGTGGGTCCTCACCCATGCGCTTTACAGGGACTTATTAATACTCCACTACAGGCACACACAAAAGGTTAATTAAAGGTTTATTTACAAGGGAAAAGGAAATAAGGAAAATGTACAACTCAGGGAGAAAATAGGGAATAAAGTCTTTAATGTGTCCTACCAGGTCTGCCGACCTGGAAACCCAAAGGCACTCTCAGAGCTGGCCGGACTCTGCGAGCTGTCTGAGAGCCAAAATGGGGGACCCCTCCAAAGCCCACCTGTCTGGCTTTATACCAACCTGGCTGCTTAACCCCACCCTCAGGTCCCAGCCACCTTCCCTTTGGTGGTGATGGGATTTGGAGTTCCCAGTGTCTTTGGCTTTGGCCTGGGGTGGGGGTGGAGTCCACAAAGCCTGTATGGAATTAGCTTTAAGACATCCTTTTCCCCCTAACACTGGGTTTGCTTGTAATATATAAAGGGCTGCTGAGACCCTCAGCAGGATGATGTCTGTACCCTGATCAAGTGTTTGCATCTCCTCACTCCCCCTCCCCCTAATCCCTCAGATTTGTCCCTAACCCTCTCAGATTTGTCCCTAACCCTCCCTAACCCAGATTTGTCCCATGCCCTCTCATCCTTACAGGAACCCCTGACAGGATAGTTTGCCAAGGCTGGTCCCTGGCATTATTACTTCTTTACTTTAGAATATTAATAACCAACGTATGCTAACAAAGCATTTTTAAGAAAATAACTTTCTGTAAATGTAAGGATAATCATACAATTGTATGATTTTTTAAAAAAAGTTACCTATTGTTTCACTACTGAAAGGTCCATGCAGGAGGCCTGAATGCAAAAACCCACCAGGAAGCCCACCTGGGAACAGGAATGCTGAAGCCTGCCTAGAGAATTCAGATAATAAACCTCCCCCTGCCCTACAAATCATTTCTCAGACAAAGAAACTCCCCCCACCCTACAAACCCAGTTCCCTGTCTGACCTCCTCACCCTATAAAAGCCTGCATCCCCCTGACAATGTGTGTGGCTTCACGGACTCCCACCTTGGGTCCCAAGGTCCGCCAGCGGCGCAATAAATTTTCCCTTCCTTTGAGAAATTTAGCCTGGCTCTCCTTTTCTTTACTGCGCCGAATCTTTCATCTGGTGCGTTGGCCGGGAATGGGGTTCAATCCCGCGTGGGGACCCTGCCCCGTCCCAAACCCTCCACTCTCCCTCTTGTTCACTCCCTCTTTCTACCTCTCCCTGTGGAACTGGAAGCCAAGAACCCCTCCAAGCTCACTAAGGCTTAATGGCCTCTGCACGACCCGGGCACCCTCCCTGCGGGAGAACGGGCCCTCGCTGCCTCTCATGCCACGTGAGCGGAGCAGGGACTTGCTCGAGTCCCTTACCGGGCTTCCCTGGTAACTCCAATCCATGTGGCCACTTCCGCCTTAACTTCTTCCCATCTCCCTTGGAGGGGCCATCCTCCTCTTCCTCCTGTCGGCCCACCTTCTCTTCCTAGGGCACTTTGCCAAATAATCGCGAAGAACGAAAAGACCCGGCCGGCCTGTGGACCACCAGCGCCTGGCTCTTGACTCTCCCAGGGTGAGCTGTTGCCTCTAGGATCCCTTGGATCATGGGGGTCTCTTCTTTTCACTCAGCGATCACTACCCCTTCCTGATGCGCGCTTTCCATTTGGGGCTCCCTCTGAGGTGAGACGTCTCCTCAGGGGCACGACCTGTCCTATTTCTTGGAGGTAAAGAGGACGGCAGGACGCCGCCTTCCTCTTTCACTCTCCTGCTCAATTCCCTGAGGATCGGGCCAGGGACACTGGGACTCCAGCCTCCCTCCCCGACCCTCCGTTTGAGATCCTAAGAGGGACACTCACTATGGGGTCAACACAATCCCCCATTCTGGCAGACACCCCCTTGGGGTGCCTCCTAAAGGCCCTTGGCCCTCTACATTTAAAGCCGGATGTGAGATCTAAGCGCCTCATTTTGTAACAGGGTGGTCCCCAGGAAAGGGGGAGGTTCCCTGCCCCACCCAAGGGAGGGTGGAGCTGAGCAGGAAGAGGAGAAGCTGCAGAAGAGACTGAGGAAGGAAGCAGGATGGAGCCAGGAGACCTGGAGGAGGTGCATGGAGCCTAGAGACACGTAAAGAAACTGCACTTGTCTTTTGGTCGTGGACTGGGTGACACAGATGTGGGTGAGACCTGTGGGGAGGTGACAATGGCAGCTTTTATCTTGATGTTGATTTTGCTCTTTTCCTTCCGGGCTTGTCCGGTTGTTTGTGACCCTTTGCTGTGGGTCCCCACTGGAAGATGCTTTAGACTTGTAGCAGGCTTTGGGGCCTTGTTCTGGGCCGATCCCATATGGATGGACTTTTACCCACGAGGGGACGGGTAACTTTGGGTGCTTCATTTAGAAACTAGACTCTGCCTTACCTGTATTGTTTCCTAGTTTTATTAAAGTTCCTTCCCCTTAAAGTCTCCTATGTTTTCTGTTGATGCGGCGGATGGCAGAACCCATTTAGAATAGGCAGGTTTGCGGGGTTTGGGCTGCCCCTCTCCCTGTCCTGTAACAATTTTTTATTGCACCACGGCCTGGCCCATATATGAACTGGACAATGGCTCTAGGTGGCCAGA